CCTCAGGAAGAATTTATACCAGAAATTAACAAACGACCAACAAACACATCACATTGTATGGACAATAATCTGCCACCATTAAACCAGATGAAATTAATACAGAGGGCATTGAACAAAAATTTTAAATTTAATTATCTTCAATTAAAACCAACATACTGTAAAAAAATTGAGTATTATCACGGTAAGCAGAAGACTGGTCATGTTTCAAAATTAACCCTCAAGCTACCGACTTTTTTGTTATACTGTTCACTACCGGTAGAATTCATATGTTACATCATATTGAAATATTTTGTTTTTCCCTGTTACAGTACTCAATGTAAATAATTGACAAAAAATTGGGTGAACTCACTCATTAACAATTAGCAACTCTTTCCAACCACGTTAAGATTTTTATGCTTTTTTATACAACAGTTACAGAAATTTAACACACGTCACAGAAAGATGCTTGTAATTTTTACACCACTATTGTTTATAATCATGTAAGAAACAAATTATTGACAAACTCTGCAAAGAGGATAGAAGACTGCTACAACAAAAAGAACAATCTAACTAAAATGTTGTCAACTCTTTCAGGCAAATAATATGAGTCAAAAAATTGGATTTCTAGTCTAGAGAATTGCACACAAAAAAAGACAAATACTGAAATGTTACACCATATTCATTTAATGCTTTGCCACATTTCATAAGAACTACAAGATGTAAGATTTACTAACTGACCTTTGAAGAGTGTTTGTTGTTAAGCATAAAGCTACACGATGGAGCAACTTTGCTTTACACACCACCAGTATTGAAATCGAATTTTTAGTCACTAGGCAACTTTAAGAGTGATCACAATCTGCAATCCAACAAGTTAAAATATTTTTTTTTGTATAGCTCTTTTTGTAATTTTGTTTTAAGAAACTGCTCTTGCTACACTAATATGAAGCCAGAAATTAAATAATTACATCATGGTTCATTTTTATTAATTACTGCTACATTTTTTGTGATATGGTGACTGTATGAAGCATTATGGATACAAACAAATGTTAACTACAAGAGTTTACTTTGTAATTAAGGTCAAATCATAAATGAGTGAATTATCTTAGCATATAAAAAATATCAGTTGAAGCTGAATGTTTTAACTTCTTCACTTATGCTTATATCCACTTAATTTCAAAGATAAAATATACAAGAATAAAATGATGGGTATCTTGTGGTCCTGATAACTTAAAGGTATCTATAATTGCAGGGTTCCCACACATTGATAGACTCAAAATTTCTTGACTTTTCCCTGATTAAAATTTTTATGTCAAATTAGAAAACTTGTTACTTCACCAAAAGTGTGCATGTAATTTAATTTTTAATATAAAACAAAATAATTTTACAGTAAAAGCTTGCTTCCACTTCTCTTACAGCCAAACTATGCTAACTTCTATTTAAAAAATATGCAGCCTATGCGGAGATTACATGGCTCATTAGAATCACTGACATAATAGACACAAAACAGAATAATTGCATTAGAGAAGTCAGATTGTTTTAGATATTGAATTTTTTAACTCACAAATATATTACATAGAAAATGTTAATGCTAGAGATACAAAAAATGGTATGATGTAATTAAATTAGGCTGACATCCTGTATAACAGGAAAGTATAATCTGAGTTTTGTTATTGATATTTACATGAAGACTAGATACAGATGCATAAGAATTAAAATTAATGAACAATTAGACAGCCATGTTACATTATGCAAAAGACATTTACATGCATATAACTCCATATTTAAATTTCCATGACTGGTGGTACAAAATTCTCTGATTTTCTCCTAACCTGTGGGAACCCTGAATAGATGAACTTGTCACTGAAGAATCTTGCAATATTGTAATAAAGATATATTCTGCAAATCAGGGTCAATGAGTTATCTAGGCAGTTTCCAATATTTTTATTTACTTTTAGTGATAATTTGGGCAGTACATAATAGTATACTAAAAATTAAAATGGAGTTCTTATTCAGCTAACTGTTTAAGATACTTAGTTTACTTACAAATGTTCAAGACAAAAAAAGGACAATAAATCAGCATGAAGAATTTATGAAGATTGAATATTGTGAACAAGGTGATGATGGCAATCAATGTTAATATAATTTTTATCAATATGTAAGTGAACATGATCTATGATTCAAAACCTACTGGGAATAATACTCTGATATTATATTTGGTGATTACCACATACAAATAAAAGTCAGGAAATACATGTGGTTTGTCATACAGTGATATTACACTGTAATATTTTATTCATATGTTGTTCGTATGATTATACAAAATGGTTTTAAATTTAGAACTTTGTCCTGAAAAATGAAAAGTAACTGCAGAAGAGAAACTAGGTTATGTTTGTATTACTCACTGATGGAATATTCTCTTTACACTCTCAGTAGTAGAAATGACTGTAAATGTAATGAACAAAAAATATGGAATAAATTATTTCTAATTTAAAAAACAAAATATTGTATGTGAAAAAGTTATAGATGGATTAAATAACTGATCAAACTAAAAAGAAGTTATGATTTATTACAGAAAATAGTTGTATCATATTATAAAAACAACTCTCTTATTTACCTCCCATCCATTATAAACTTTATATGACTAGAGTTTTACCTCAAAAACAATAATTAACAAACTGAGCTACAAAACAAAATCATTTAAAACTGATAGATAAGTATTAGATTTAGCACAACCCATTATGTATTGCAGCATAAAACTCATTCGTTAGTTAAAATTAGTTCATGTATACTAGTAATGTACAAAAGTGTGTTTTATCTAGATTTTTTTATTTAATTCAAAAGAGGTAAAATCTGCACTATTTTATCAATTATTTATGCTTGTTTCAGATATTCTTAAGAAGTTGCACAATGGCTATCTGTGCAAATCCTCTGTAATTTTCAATTTGTAGGCTAGAAGGAAGATGAATAGTCAATGGTACCTGCCATCAACTCTTGTGTCACTCTAATCAAATAGTGGAACTTGACTGTCACTATTATGACTCACCCATGGCCCCAAACTGTGGAGATGTTTTGACAACTGGATATGAGCCGTGGACCCTCAGATTCACAGTCCAGAATACAAACACTAGGATATGCCCAGCACTATTACTTATGCTACATATTAACTTGTTGTATAAGATTGTATGTTTAAACAAAGTACATATGTAGAGTCATTAATAAACATTTTTTACACATTATTTTTAAGGAAACAGTGGTATTTTCTTATTCCAACTATTTTTTACATGAACACACTCGAATGCCTTGATATATCTAAACAACCTTTCTGGTTAAAAGCAAACAGTTTTGTAAGACTTAGTTTTTTATAATTAAGTTTTAGTTCTGACACACATTATGCAGCAAATTTGTCAAATTTTGATCATTCATATCTATGCAACTGTTTGGAACATGATGAGAATGAAACAAAAAGCAATAAAAAATTTAACTATATAAATAAATTAACTATACAGTTACCTTTTTTGAAAATTCTTATTCCTAAATACAGAATCTATCATGTACCTTCTTCGTATAATATCAGCTTTACAGTATTTAGAAAGTTGCTCTATAAATACATACACACATTAGTTATCTATTTATTTTAATATAAAGACTAAATTGCAGTAATACATCAATTGGACTTTATAGCTTTGTTGCTAGCATTGTTTTACAAAGAACAAATAATTTGCACATATAAAAATCATTTTCAAAATATACATAGTATATACAACTACATAGTACACAAACTATACTTGATGTTACTTGAAATGATAACCAAGATAATTTACATAAAAAAAGATGACTATTCTTAAAAAAAAAAGAGTCAAAGGTACAGAAGTTCACAAACTAGTTAACTCCTCATATGCAAATAATATATTTCATTCAAATAATACTGAAATTACCAAAATCTAAAATAAGATTTTTCCTTTGATGAGGAAAAATACAAAAACATTTTTAAAGTATAAACAGAATCAAAAATGTAACTGCCCAGTGTGAAATTAAGCTGCTTAATATTAATAATTTATACCCCAAAAAGGAAAATAACCAGCTTTTTTTAAATACATGTCCTGCACCAAATGTTACTTCTAAATAAGTTTGATATATACTGTAATACACTTTGTGACCAAGAGGTGTCTTGTCACTAACTTTTCATATGGAATGCAACTTCCAGTTCAAAATTTATTACTTGAACAAATTATCTAACATGAGCTTTATAACTCAAGAATTCACACAAATGAAAAAAAAAAAAAATTAAAACATATTAAGTCATAATTATTGATATGAATGAGAAAACAAAATTAAAATTTTAACAGAAAGTAGGGATCATTGATTATTCATAGAATTGCTATAAGAAGTATCCAAAAACAAAATAAATGCTGCAATAAAAGTACACAAACAAGCAAAGTTATACTAGTTGGGTGAATTTTAAAACAATTTTCAGTCCTTAATTTGGTTGACATTGTGATCTGTATAGCTAAATGAAGCAGTCTAAATTTGCCAAACAAAGTAGGGATTGAAAATCATTTTAAAATCCATTCAACTAGTATAACTTTACTTGTTTCTGTACTTTTTAGTGTACCATTTATTTTATTTCAGTTACTTCTTAGAGCAATTCTACAAATAACAAACAACCCTTACTTTCTGTTAAAATTTTAATTTTTTCCCCCTATTTATATATCCATGGAATGGACACATCATCTATAATCTTTCAGTATAGTCATATCCCTAATGGCTATAACTTTTACAAGAATTAAAACCACAATCACAAATTTATAAAATGTAATCTTTACTTTGGCCTACAGATAAGTATATAAAACTGCAAAAGTAGAGATTAAATTTTATAAATTTGTGATTGTGGTTTTAATTCTTGTTTCATTACTTTTTGTAGAAGGTACCCCCTACTTCATTTTAAAATTAATAATTTTTTAATACTCTTGTTTGTGTACTTTCTATGTTATATCTGTAAAAAAGTATACACTTTACCTTTAGAAACTGTCCCATGTCTATCCATTGATATGTAGCGCCATCTGTTGGGTTGAATTGAGTTGAAAAGATATTTAAGTACATGCAAGGTATGTTTACCTTTTATAAAAAATCTGTATATATTTATCAGAATATTAAAAGTGGATACCCACAGACCAGTCAAGTAAACTGGAAAAATGTTTTAGCGATAGTCCGAGCCATATAGGGGATAGCCCATCTGATGTGATCAGGTAGTTAGATATGTAGTAAACAAAAAAGTTTCTGTTTTAGAAAAGTTTGAATTGTTATACCGTCTAGGGGCTAGCCCCGCTGACATGATCAGGTAGGTAGGTAGTAGACCAAAAAATTGCTGTTTTAGAAAATTTTGAATTGTTATACTGGAAATGTTAGTGACCTTTTTAGTGTATTATTCATATATATGCACATAATATATTGTAACCAATACTTTGAATGGTTGGTTTTTTGATCAGGAATTCAATAGGGTGTTTTTTTGGCATATGAATTATATGGAATCCTTGTCAATCCCTACTATTAAGTTCTACAGTACTTAATAATGTATCATGGCATCACCCTAACACTATTACACAGAGTTTGATACCTTTTATCTTATTTTAAAATAATAAAAAGTTTACAAGACTCTAAGTGGCCATAAACTTGGAAAACCTAGAAAATTCAGGGAATTTGAAAAAAACAAATAGGGATGTTTGAAAAAAAAATCAGGGAAAGTTAAAAAATATCCCAAAATCTAAAAAAAATTGTGGGCCCCTTCCTTTTCTTTTAAATCTCAGAACCTGAATATGTACGCAAGCCATACTGCTTGGCTATGTCAATTATTCACGTGTTTTAACATAATCTTGGTCACTCATCCTATTTTATTTGAGGCTAATTATCTAATCTATTATATTCAAAGATATGTTAGATCAAATAATTTTCAAAAATAAAAACGAAAAATTTTATCATGTCCATCAAGTTGGAATGTCTTCCTTTGAACATGTTTTTCTGCAGTATGAAGTATGTATGTTCTGGAGTTTTTATTACACTTTATAGCCAGACTACACACTTATGTGGTGTGTCTTATGTAGAATTATAAGGAAAAGTTGAAATACCAGTGTGAGTCATACAAGCAGGTGTGCAGGTCTGGAGAATCTGGGAATTTTTTTGGAAAGTTAGGGAAACAAAATTGGAAAGAATACGATTACTCTTTGTCCCACACAAGTCCATTCCTCAAGCTTTATCAAATTTTGTTTCTCTAACAGCCATACACATGATTTCTGATGTCCTAAGAATACAGTAATTTTGAAAAACTATATTATTGGAGTAATTATTCTTTTCGATAATACTTTGAAATGATAGGAAAACTTTCTGCGAATGTTTCCATTCAACAATATGCTAGACTATAATTTTCTAACTCTCCACTGATGCCTATAACTACTACTTAAAATCAATTTGTTAAAAATATCAGTTACATGCAGACAGGTATGTAAATAGGTTAAGTAAACTCTACCATGTAATTAGACAATGTTTTTTTTAAATAAAATTTCTAAAATTAGGTTTTATAACACACATAATTTGTTTATGTCAGTAACATGATAACAGGATTAGAAAAATAAACTATGTTCACAGGAAACAGTGAAAACTTCACTTAATGCACAACATAATGTTAACATTTAGACATTTTTGTTAAAGCAGGGCAGATAAAATGTGAGAGCTAAAAATTCTAAGAAATTCTTTAAAAAGTATTTACATTTTCCAGAATAAATTAACCAGCCAGCACTAATGTATGATTTGCTTTCTCAACATATGCTCTATAAACTGAGAACTAATTCAAATATTAATGAGAGGTTTGCTTACTGAAATTTTAAATGTGAGTGCTTTTTGATTTCAGTTTCATTTCAATATATATATATATATATATATATTGGATACACTACATACAAAAAATCACGCAGAAGAAAAGGTACAACTAAAGTTATTGTATAATTATGGGAGTTGTAAAGTATATACTGCCATAAGATTATTTTTACTTAGAAGGTTTTATCCTTTTACACTTTTATAAGTGAAACATAATTCTAGATTAGAGCAAGCTAGAGTCAAGCAATCAATGAAAGGTAATTAGTTATGTGTAATGTGGAAATATAAAGTGCATAAAGAATGATTGTTGGTGAGCAGTGGTAAAAAAGTATGGTGAACCTATATACATGCAAGGTTTCAGGAGTTAAGTCAGTATTTTTTGTGAATACATCAAATTGAACTAGTAATAAATCATATACTGTAAACAGAAACTTACTTGTATCATTTTTAATCATCATATTGTATTTTTCAAAGATGACTGATTTAAGAAACTTGTATAATATGTGAAATTATGCAACAGTAATCTATCTAGGCCCATCTAATAAACCCCCAATATCAGTAAATACCACTCCTGATTTCGTTTCCTCTTGGTCCTGAAACTCCTTCATACTCTGAATAACAGTCTTCACATTCTTCTTCACATAATCTGTTACTGCTGAAGTAACAGTGTAAGCTTAGAATCAAATCAAGTAATAATATTTCACAAAAACGTTTTTACATAGGTAAGAATTCTTGAATGAAAAAATAAATACATATGGTTATCTTTAAACTACTGAATGAGCCAAAATCAAATGGTTTTTACATGGTGTAAAGTAAAAAGCAATTACCATTTAGTTGTAAAAGGACAATATACATGTAACATACATTATTCTTTTACATGAAGTTTAATATTATTATAAACAATCATGGTTTAAATCCGATTTTCTAGCCAAAACATCACTGGTAACATTCAACATAGTATCTCATATTATTAATACATATGGATTCAAAGAAGATCCAACAATACTGATATCTGTTAATTACTCTATATGTAAGATGACCAAATTTCCAAACCAGAAAACTGGGACAGTCCAGCCCTTGTCCCTAATTTCAAAATGGTTATTAGACATTTGAAATAATTTAACTTTTATCTAATTTACTTTAAATTTACTTTTCCACAATATTTCCAAATATATTAACATTGGCATTGTTTTTGAAAGAATTTCAACTACTACAAATGAGTAAAAATAGCCAAATTATACACTCAAGATACCTTTAATTATTCACTTCATCCAATTTATTTTAAAATAGGCTACTTCATAATTTGAATTATTGAAGAATCCATAACATTTTCAAACATACTACTTTTAGGTTATAACATTGCTTTGAAACTTTTTATACATATTTGTGTGAAGAGTGAATGGAATATATAAGTTCTGTTTTTTCACTGAGTACATGACTGTTTATGATGTACGTTTATTATAAGCATTGTCTTAACTGTCTTCACATGCAGAACTGTACAGACCTGGGTTTCTCACCATACACAGATGGAACTTTCAAGAGAGTTTGCAGGAGAGTATGTGTTACAGCTAGCAAATCAAGTAAGTCTATTACATTCATGATTCAATGTGACTAACAGTTTGATGTCTTTATCATAAAAGTGGGATGTTTTGTGTGTCCTGGGAATTTTTCTCTTGACACTGGGACAAACTACCAAAAAACGGGACTGTCCTGGCAAAACAGGGACATCTGATCACCCTATATACTTTGACTAATCATGGTCAAAGTTTGTTGGATGACTATGGATATTTTGAATTACATGTACATATTAACTTTATTGCTTACTGAAATATCTTATGAGCATCTGATCTGAACATGTAGAAATACAATAAACAAAACAATATAGCATAAAAAATATTAACACTCTGTCCAAACTCATTTCTGTTATTGCTTTTATTTTACACATCAATGAGTTGTCATCTTTGCAAATGGTGTCATACTGACTGCAGAAATAAATCATAATGAGCAGTTGTGAGACTAATTATTAATATTCTGACATAGCAACCTAATCAAAAATGAGGACCACAAAAACAAGAGAGATCAAAAGGAAAGATGGTTCTAATTTTTAAAGAATCTTCACCTCCTTCCTTTAGGATATATATTTTCTCACTAAGTTCATATTCTTTTCCTTTCATTTCACTGTTTATGCTTTAGTAATTTTTTCCCAGTTTGTGTTTTTACCTTTCCTGGATAAATCAGTGCTTTTGAATTTATTTTGTGTGTGTGTGTGTTAACTACTTCCATGTTCAGCTAAGTAATTTCTTACTTTTTTGTAGGCAAGACTGCAAAAACTCAAATTCTACTCTGGCTTAGCCCAAAGAAAACATTATTTGGTTTGATTTATTTAGAATTTCACACAAAACTACATGAGGGCTATCTGTGCTAGCTGCCCTTAATTTAGTAGTGATAGGCTAGAGTAGTGGTCGGCAACCTTTTTTGATCGCGGGTCAATTATTTTATTTTTTTTGTTGAAAAATTTAGCATTGTGTTGGGTCAGTGATAATCATATAATTATTAACACCAGTACATGTATTTTATATGTGTATGTTTATTTACATACAAAAATATTAATAGGTCGACCAGTTTGATATTTTTCCCTGAAATTGATCTTAAAATTCTCCGTAGCCGTGACTCTTTCCCATCTTTCCTTTAATATCGTTGTTCTTCTCACATAGCCGAGAAATTTGAACTGAACAATGATTGTGTCCTTACAGGTTGCAATTGTGAAGCCAACTTTTGGCGGGTCATAGGTTGCCGACCACTGGGCTAGAGGGAAGGCAGCAAGTCAACACCACCAACTCTTGGGCTACTCTTTTACCAATGAATAGTGGGATTGACCATCATATTATAACACCCCCACAGCTGAAAGGGCCAGCATGTTCATGATGAGGATTCAAACCCATGACCCTCAGATCACAAGTTGAGCACCTTAACCACCAGGAAAAAAAAAGAAAAGGTTAATCTAATCATATTCAATAATGAACAAAACATAAATTTTCTTCTCTCCATGTATGTTACAAGTTGTACTTTACTTAGCCAGAAAAACTTTTTCACTTACAATTGTTATGGTGTGAATGCCTTTTCCAAGCTGGCAAGGCATGATTGTAATTAATTACACTTTACATAAGACATTAGAATTAGGCTTATTAAAGTTTTAACACTACACCATATCCATTGCCTATGATAGATTCCTCTCAATCCAGTGTGGTTGGAATACTATTATTATTATACACTCTTATAATTCTTGGAAATCCCTACGGGAATGGATAAATAATGGATTATTAAAAATATAATAAGCTAATACTGATGTCTTATGGCATGTGCAATTAATTATAGTTATGCTTCATTAGCTTGGAAAAGGCATTCACACCATAGCAATTGTTGTTTTAATAAATGGCTTACATAAATAGTGTACTGATTACTATTGTGTTTGTGTCACAGCCAGCTTGATGAGCTCTGTAAAGAGTGAAACACGTAGTTAGAAATAGCAAGGTTCCCATAACATGAATCAGACAATTTTCCATGACCAAAAATTAAACCATATGGCCCATAATTACTTTTAAAATTAACTCAGTGTAAAAAGGCTGCATGCTTTACATGCTTTAAAAATTCATTAACATTTAAAATAAGTACAAGTTTTTTTTTATTCAAACAGCCTCTTCATCACTACTTCTTGCCATCCATTCCAACCAGTTTATTTTAAACATAAACATTAAAGTACTAACTATATTCCATCGCCAATTTCATAGAACAGTGACACGTCAAAGATACATACCAACATTCATAGGACAGTTGCAGCTTCATTTCATCAAAATAAGACAAACTAAGATATTCAGCACAATGCACAAGCTAATTCAGATATATATACACAAGTACCACTTATCATGTGCTTTTATATTTATCAGTAAACAAAATTTTTAGCATTATATACAATGTAAAAACCTGCATATCTCCTATAAAAACCTGACAAAAGTATAATAATTTTTTAGTTAATAAAACAATACTGATTTTTTTAGGTAAATACACAAAATAATACTGATTCTTCAGGTAAACACACAAAATACTGACTCTTGAGGTAAACAATACTGATTCTTCAGTTGACATAAAACAATACTGATTCTCACTGTAAAACTCGCATAACAATACAATTTTCACATAAAGGACATAATAAGTCTTTTGCATAGCACCACGTAACTAAAACAATACCATGTAGAAATTAGTTTCCATAACTTCACATATAAGACATGTACTGATAACATATTTCAGGCACATACATGTATATGAGTCACATCTCAAAGGCATCTAAACTTGCTTGTACTTTTGGTGAAGATGTTCTAGACTCTTATCCAGTTCTTCTATTTATTTGTTCTTCTCTGCCACAGTTTTCCAAAAATAATTCAACATGGCTAATAGAATGAAGTCTTGGTTGTTCTCAAGTTATTTGGGTGAGCTCATCACTTCCTTCTTTAGAACGTCTATGCTGCTAACAAGCTTTTCCTTCTTCTTCATTGTTGATTTTATTTTATCTTGAATTATCTTCCTCTTTATCTTTTCTTGTGCTTCATCTTTTTTCTTGTCCTCTAGATACTGGGCATACTTCATGCTACCTGCCCTCGCATTAGTCATAAGAGATTTAGTGATGGGGATTTGACTAATTTCATAACCCGAAGACAATACACTGCCATGCACCAAATGTTGAGCAACAAGTATCTTTTCCTTCATGTTCTCGACCAGCATTTCCTTGTTGACAAAGAAGCCAATTTCTACATCTGCCTGGCCATGAAAAATAGTCAGCAGGAGTCTGATGACTTCCCAGTGAGGAGCAAACTCTGGTCTATCACACAGCATCTCATGAAAGAATATGTCCAGTTAGTCTGATGGTATGGATTCAAAATTCTTGAATTTGTACTTGTCTCTTGGCACTTTCTGCATGAATGATTTGAACTGGGTACTAATGATTTTTCATTGTAAGGTGCTTCACCTCTTAGCATTCAGTAGGATTTGAAGCAATGCATCAAATTTGGTATCCATGTCATTTGAGTGGGTGACCATGTAGTGAAGGTCTAGTGACTTCAACTTTTTGATGATTTGATATTGAAGAGGGCACTTTTCCATTATTTTGGAAGTTGAAGCCACAAAGAACTGCAGACACTCCATACAGAAGTGTAGATCCTACAGTTCACTCACAAATTTGTCCTTCAGAGCCACATTCAAGGATTGTTTTGCTGAAAATCGCACATCAATGGCTTTTGATTCCAGACGTAACTTCTTGTCTTGTACATCTACCTTCAATAACTTGGCAATGGTATCTGCTTTGATGATAAGATGAGATGAGAGATTATAGCTCCTCAGCAAGAAAAGAAACCATTGAGGCAGCAGTCTGGAACTTTTTCAGGGGCAGCTGCAATTGTTTTGCTACTGATGCGAAGAACTGCATTTTGGCTATGAAAAGTACGTTGTCCTTGGCTTCCTTCACAATTAGGAATGAAAAATAGTTAGTGATCTGACTTTTAGGGCATCCCTTGTAGCTGTCAATGAATAATAAAATGTTGTTCCATGCTTCCAAATTGCACACTGCTACTGGCAAGTCCTCCGCCCATCAATGAATACATGACTTCAATGGGAACACTGAGTTGCCAGTTAATTTTACAAAGTCCTCTCTTCTTGCAGGAGTATCATGAAAAATTTGTCAAAGCACTCTGAGTTTCTGCCCAATCTTCCAATCAGTGGCCTCAAGTCCATGTTGAAGACTGCCATGAATGACATGAAGACCACAGCATCCAATGTCAATGAGGTCTGGCATGAAGAGATCAATCTGGTGATCCTCACTGAGATCTGTTAAGAATTTCCAGTTAACACTGGGACCCATCCACCAATACATGCAGCATTCATTTTGGGTCCAAAAGTTTCAGGCCTTCCTTGAATCTGACCATAAAATCACCAGCTGCTGCATGTTCCAAAAACTCTGATCTCTATCTCGCCCGGTTTAGTGTTTCAAAATTGAACCACCAAATTCACCTGTACACTTTGTTGAGGCACTCGTCAAGTGAAGTCACATAACAGTCTGATTTTCTGATTAGGTCTATCAATTGATCTTTGAAGTAAGGTGTAAGGCCAAAGCAAGTAAGGTAAGCACATTTTGCTGCTGCATATGAGCAATGGCACTATCAGGAAACATAGTACTGAACAATTCTGTTTTTCCTTTGCAAGAATTGAACAAATAATGCGACATTATCACTTTTATTGTGCACAGAATTTTCAATTTGAGGACATCAGAACTACTTACAAAGGTCTCAGATGCAGATACGGTGGGATTCTCTCCCCTCTTTTGATCATTACTGGCTGATGATGTTGTCTGTTGGTCACTTGGTGCTTCTGTAGTTTCAGGGGTTTCTATCATGTAATTTTTTATTCCACCTTTGCCTTTCTCTGCTAAAATCTGAACAGCTCTGGCATGCAATCTTCCTTTCATGTGTTTTTTTAGTGCTGAAATGTCCATAATACTAACATCAACATTTTTGGCAGGAGGTGCAGAAAGCTCTTTGGGGTTCATACTTTACATCTTCCACTCAGTCTCTGAACTGTGGCTCAAGTTTCCATTCCAAGTTTAACGTGTAGTGCCATCCAGACATTATGTTTGGAATTCAGACTGTTCTAATACAACCTACTAAACAAATGTTCTTACAAAGATTAATATGCATTTACAGTATTTTGAAAAAAAAAGAAAAAAGAAAAGATAATTCATGCAACACAAAATAGAGAATCAGAAATGTATAATACTCTATCTTGATATAATTCTAGCTCCAACTTGTTACCAATATGTCATAGAGACAGATTTATTTTTCAGTTGAAGCACAATTATTTAATAGAATAGGTGTGGAGATGATCATGGACATCAAAGCAGATATCAGTAAACAACATTCCTAGAGATAAGGTTAACACATAGATACTCATTGGCACAAACACACTATTTTCTAATAATGTTTCTGTATTTAACCTAAAGGCCTGCTACAACACACCAGTAGGCTCAAAATATTGCACCGTTTCTGAAAAAAATTTTCCAGAAATTTTGGTGTTTTTTTTACAAATTCCATGAGTTCCCAAG